GTGTACTCCTGTGTACTTCTGTGTACTTCTGTGTACTCCTGTGTACTTCTGTGTACTCCTGTGTACTTCTGTGTACTTCTGTGTACTCCTGTGTACTCCTGTGTACTTCTGTGTACTTCTGTGTACTTCTGTGTACTCCTGTGTACTTCTGTGTCGTTGATTTGTCAAAATCAGATCCTGATCAGGACTAAAGCTCAAATCAAAACCAGATCCTCATTTTCCCCAAACCTGATCCTGAAAAAGAAAAACAGAACTAAACCAGGTCCAGACTTGATCTAAACCAGGTCTAAACTTGAACCAGCCTGGTTTCGACCAAGTTTAGACCAAGTTTAGACCAAGTTTAGACCCTGGTTTAGAGTTTAGACCTGGTTTAGTCTGGTTTAGACCTGGTTTAGACCTGGTTTAGTCCTGGTTTAGACCTGGTTTAGACCTGGTTAGACCAAGTTTTAGTCCTGGTTTAGACCTGGTTTAGACCTGGTTTAGACCTGATTTAGTCCTGGTTTAGACCTGTTTTAGACCTGGTTTAGACCTGGTTTAGTCCTGGTTTAGACCTGTTTTAGTCCTGGTTTAGACCTAGTTTAGACCTGGTTTAGACCTGGTTTAGACCTGGTTTAGTCCTGGTTTAGACCTGGTTTAATCCTGGTTTAGACCTGGTTTAGTCCTGGTTTAGACCTGGTTTAGACCTGGTTTAGTCCTGGTTTAGACCTGGTTTAGACCTGGTTTAGACCTGTTTAGACCTGGTTTAGACCTGGTTTAGACCTGGTTTAGACCTGGTTTAGACCTGGTTTAGTCCTGGTTTAGTCCTGGTTTAGACCTGTTTAGACCTGGTTTAGACCTGGTTTGGACCTGGTTTAGTCCTGGTTTAGACCTGGTTTAATCCTGGTTTAGACCTGGTTTAGACCTGGTTTAGACCTGGTTTAGACCTGGTTTAGACCTGGTTTAGACCTGGTTTAGACTTGGTTTAGTCCTGGTTTGGACCTGGTTTAGTCCTGGTTTGGACCTGGTTTAGTCCTGGTTTGGACCTGGTTTAGACCTGGTTTAGTCCTGGTTTAGACCTGGTTTAGTCCTGGTTTAGTCCTGGTTTAGACCTGGTTTAGTCCTGGTTTAGTCCTGGTTTGGACCTGGACCATGAGGGTTCTCAGGTCTGTGGACACATGGGACCAGAAAAGAAAGTTTTACTGTTTAATGTAGAAAATCCCAGGAGTTCGTCTGAAGAAAAACATGTAAACAAACTAATAATAAAGATTTACTCAAACCTCCTCCTGATGGGACATGAACATCTCCCCTCAGACGCTCCTCTCCACGTGGAGGAGCAGCGGCTCTACTCCGAGCTCCTCCCCTCAGACGCTCAGACAGCGGCTCCTCGAGCTCCTCCTCAGACGCTCCTCTCCACGTGGAGGAGCAGCGGCTCTACTCCGAGCTCCTCCCTCAGACGCTCCTCTCCACGTGGACGAGCAGCGGCTCTACTCCGAGTCTCCCCTCAGAACGCTCCTCTCCCGTGGACGAGCAGCGGCTCTACTCCGAGCTCCTCCCTCAGACGCTCCTCTCCACGTGGAGGAGCAGCGGCTCTACTCAGCTCCTCCCCTCAGACGCTCCTCTCCACGTGGAGGAGCAGCGGCTCTACTCCGAGCAAGACCACGACGGACTTGAACCACCTGAAGCAGAGACTCTCCACCCGCCCGGAGACGATCAGAACATCAGAACAACAAAACATCAGAACAACAGAACAACAAAACATCAAAACATCAGAACATCAGAACATCAGAACATCAGAACATCAGAACATCAGAACAACAAAACATCAAAACATCAGAACATCAGAACAACAGAACAACAAAACATCAGAACATTAGAACAACAGAACATCAGAACATCAGAACATCAGAACATCTGAACATTAGAACGTCAAAACATAAGAACATCAGAACATAAGAACATCAAACATTAGAACATAAGAACATAGAACATCAGAACATTAGAACAATAGAACATCAGAACAACAGAACATCAGAACATCAGAACAGAACATCTGAACATTAGAACAAAACATAAGAACATCAGAACATCAGAACATCAGAACATTAGAACATAAGAACATCAGAACATAGAACATCTGAACATTAGAACATCAGAACATTGAACATCAGAACATTAGAACATCAGAACATTAGAACATTAGAACATCAGAACATCAGAACATTAGAACATCAGAACATAGAACATTAGAACAGAACATTAGAACATCAGAACATCAGAACATTAGAACATCAGAACATTCAGAACATTAGAACATTAGAACATCAGAACATCAGAACATCAGAACATCAGAACATCAAACATTAGAACATTAGAACATCAGAACACACAAAACATCAGAACATCAGAACATCAGAACATCAGAACATTAGAACATCAGAACATCAGAACATTAGAACATCAGAACAACAAAACCTCAGAACATCAGAACATCAGAACATCAGAACACAGAACATCAGAACATCAGAACATCAGAACATCAGAACATCAGAACATCAGAACATCAGAACATCAGAACATTAGAACATTAGAACATCAGAACATAGAACAGAATTAAAACATTAGAACATTAGAACATTAGAACATTAGAACATTAGAACATCAAAACATCAGAACATCAGAACATCAGAACATCAGAACATCAGAACATTAGAACATCAGAACAGTAGAACATTAGAACATTAGAACATTAGAACACGACTCTCAGTTTAAATGTTTAATTTTGAACCTTTAAAGACGAGAATCAGAGTTGATTTGAGAATCGAGTCTTTTTCTTAATGTTGGAATCAAGTTTTTAGTAAATTTTTTGTGACGTGACAATAAAACGATCAACAAAACCTCCTCCACACTCAGTCTCTCCCTCTCTTCTCTCCTTCTCTCCTTTCCTCTCTCCTTCTCTTCCCCTCTTTCTCCTTCTCTCCTTCTCTTCTCTCCTCTCTTCTCTCTCCACTTCCTTCTTTCTCTCCTTTCTCCTCTTTCCCTCTCCTCTCTTTGTCTTTCCTTCTCTCCTCGCTACTTCTCCTCTTTCCTCTCCTTCTCTTTTCTTCTCTCCTTCTCTCCTCTCCTCCTCCTCTCTCTCCACTTCTCTCTTCTCTCCTCTCTTCTCTTTTCTTTTCATCTCTCCTCTCTCTTCCCTCTCTCTCCTTCTCTCCTCTTTCCTCTCTCCTTCTCTCCTATCTCCCCTTTCCTTTTCTCCCTCTCTCCTTCTCTCCTTTCCTCTCTCCTTCTCTCCTCTCTTCTCTCCTTCTCTCCTCACTACTTCTCCTCTCTCCTTTCTTCTCTTTCCTTCTCTCCTCTTCTCTCTCCCCTTTCCTTTTCTCCCTCTCTCCTTCTCTCCTCTCCTCTCCTTCACACCTCGTTACTTCTCCTCTGCTTCTCTCTTTTCCTCTCTTCTCTCCTTCTCTCCTTTCCTCTCTCCTTCTCTCCTTTCCTCTCTCCTTCTCTCCTCTCTTCTCTCTCCATTTCTTTCTTTCTATCCTTTCTTCTCTTTCCTTCTCTCGTCTCCTCTCCAATTTCCTTTTCTCCTCTCTCCGTCTTTCCTTCTCTCCTCGCTACTTCTCCTCTCTCCTTTCTTCTCTCTCCTTCTCTCCTCTTCTCTCTCCCCTTTCCTTTTCTCCCTCTCTCATCTCTCCTTTCCTCTCCCCTTTTCTCCTTCTCCCCTTTCCTCTCTCCTTCTCTCTTCTCCTCTCTCCGTCTTTCCTTCTCTCCTCTCTCTCCACTTCTTTCTTTCTCTCCTTTCTTCTCTTTCCTTCTCTCCTCACTTCTCTTCTCTCCTCTCCTCTCTCTCTTCCCTCTCTCTCCTTCTCTCCCCTTTCCTTTTCTCCCTCTCTCCTTCTCTCCTTTCCTCTCTCCTTCTCTCCATTCCTCTCTCCTTCTCTCCTTTCCTCTCTCCTTTACTCTCTCCTTCTCTCCTCTCCTCTCTCCTTCTCTCCTTTCCTCTCTCCTTCTCTCCTTTCCTCTCTCCTTCTCTCCTTTCCTCTCTCCTTCTCTCCCCTTCTCTCTCCTTTCCTCTCTCCTTCTCTCTCTTTCTCTTCCTCTCTCCTCTCTCCTCTCTTCTCCTCTCTCCTTCTCTCTCCTCTCTCCTTCTCTCTCTCTCTCTTCTCTCTCTCTCTCTCTCTCTCCTTCTCTCTCTTCTCTCTCTCTCTCTTCTCTCTCCTCTCTCTCTCTCCTTCTCTCTCCTTCTCTCTTCTCTCTCTCTCTCCTCTCTCTCCTTCTCTCTCTCTCTCTCTCTCCTCTCTCCTTCTCTCTCTCTCTCTTCTCCTCTCTCTCCTTCTCTCTCCTCTCTCTCTCTCTTCCTCTCTCTCTCTCTTTCTCTCTCTCTCTCTCTCTCCTTCTCTCTCCTCCTCCTTCTCCTCTCTCTCTCTCCTTCTCTCCTTTCCTCTCTCCTTCTCTCCTCTCTCCTCTCTTCCTTCTCTCCTCTCTTTCTCTCTCTCCTTCTCTCTCCTTCTCTCTCTCTCTCTCTCCTTCTCTCTCCTCTCTCTCTTCTCTCTCCTTCTCTCCTCTCTCTCCTTCTCTCCTCTCCTCTCTCCTTCACACCTCGTTACTCCTCCTCTGCTTCTCTCTTTTCTCTCTTTTCTCTCTCTCTCCCAGATCCCAGATTAAGTTGAATTCTATCCGTCTCTTCGCGCTCACATTTGCACCTGCTCCTTCAGGCAAAACTCCCTCCTCCTCCTCCTCCTCCTCCTCTTCTTCCCTCTCTCCTCTTCCTCTCTGGCTCTGACTCATCATTCCTCTGCTCCACTTCCACTCGAGGGTCTCAGTGTGTCAGTGTGTGTCAGTGTGTGTCAGTGTGCGTCAGTGTGCGTCAGTGTGTGTGTGTCTGCGGCGCTGGGGGGACGTGGGTCTGCGGCGCTGGTGTGATCCGTGCGGGCGTCGTGGGCGTCGTGGGCGTCGTGGGCGTCGTGCTCCTGTGGTCACCTGATCCCCTCGCTGACGGGCGGATGGCAGATTTGTGAGGAGGCACGAGCGCAGACGCAGCGAGCGGAGCTGGAGCCGCACCATCCCCAGACAGGTAAGAGCCCCCGGAACCGACCCGGAACCGGCCCGGAACCGACCTGGAACCGGCCCGGATCCTAGCGGGAATTTAACCTCCTGTGTGAGATTTAAAGGCTCGGATTTTTCTGTTTTCTGATTTGTGTCACAAACAAACCTGGAGTTTTTACGTCTCCAAAAACTCACAAAGTCACAAAGTTGTAGTTTTCAAGTTCGCAGCTTTTACCTTTAGTCCAGTCGAGATCAGCGATTCCAGGACTGAAAATGATCCAAACCCGGTCTAAACCAGGTCTAAACCAGGTCTAAACTTGGTCTAAACTTGGTCCAAACTTGGTCTAAACTTGGTCCAAACTTGGTCTCTAAACTTGGTCTAAACTTGGTCCAAACTTGGTCCAAACTTGGTCTAAACTTGGTCTAAACTTGGTCCAAACTTGGTCTAAACTTGGTCTAAACTTGGTCTAAACTTGGTCTAAACTTGGTCTAAACTTGTTCTAAACTTGGTCTAAACTTGGTCCAAACTTGGTCTAAACTTGGTCTAAACTTGGTCTAAACTTGGTCTAAACTTGGTCTAAACTTGGTCTAAAACTTGGTCTAAACTTGGTCTAAACTTGATCTAAACTTTGTCTAAACTTGGTCCAAACTTGGTCTAAACTTGGTCTAAACTTGGTCTAAACTTGGTCCAAACTTGGTCTAAACTTGGTCTAAACTTGGTCCAAACTTGGTCCAAACTTGGTCTAAAATTGATCTAAACTTTGTCTAAACTTGGTCTAAACTTGGTCTAAACTTGGTCCAAACTTGGTCTAAAATTGATCTAAACTTTGTCTAAACTTGGTCCAAACTTGGTCTAAACTTGTTCTAAACTTGGTCTAAACTTGGTCCAAACTTGGTCCAAACTTGGTCTAAAATTGATCTAAACTTTGTCTAAACTTGGTCTAAACTTGGTCCAAACTTGGTCTAAACTTGGTCTAAACTTGGTCTAAACTTGGTCTAAAACTTGGTCCAAACTTGGTCTAAACTTGGTCTAAATTTGGTCTAAACTTGGTCTAAACTTGGTCTAAACTTGTTCTAAACCAGGTCTAAACTTGGTCTAAACTTGGTCTAAACTTGTTCTAAACTTGGTCTAAACTTGGTCTAAATTTGGTCTAAACCAGGTCTCTGAGCAGAACCTTTAGAACGTCTTTGGAACGATCTGGAGCTGGACTAGAACAAGTATAAGACACAGAGACTAAGATCCTCTTTTATTTCACTGAACAAACTCTGGTGACTTTTAAAGTCTCTGTTTTTTCTGTTTTTCTGTTTTCACACTCAGAGCTGGAGTCATGTTTGTTTGTTTGTTTGTTTGTTTGTTTGTTTGTTTGTTTCACATGTTTGAGTAACTCTTTATTTTTAGTCTGTCCACATCTCCAAAGTTTAAAAAGTTGTAGTTTCCGAGTGAACAGCTCCTTTTCCCTTTAGTTCAGTTCAGATCGATGATTCCAGGACTGAAATGATCCAGATGTTTCTAGAGAAGCTGTGTGGAGTTTAAAAACACAGTGGAGCTCTGTCTGTAAAGTCTAAATCTGCAGTTTTAGGGTTTTTTTGTGTGTGAATGAAACAAACCAGGACTAAACCAGGCCCAAAGTTGGTCCAAACTTGATCCAAACTTGATCTAAACTTGGTGTAAACCAGGTCACAGCTCCAGGTCACAGCTCCAGGTCACAGCTCCAGGTCACAGCTCCAGGTCACAGCTCCAGGTCGGTTTGTCTCCTGGTCCTTCACAACAGTTCAGTTCATTATTTAAAGACACAAGTCGAGTTTTAAAGCTGCGTTTGGTTTGTAAATGATTCAAGCTCGAGGATCCTGACAGGTGCAGGTCCAGACTGACAGGTGCAGGTCCAGACTGACAGGTGCAGGTCCAGACCGACAGGTGCAGGTCCAGACTGACAGGTGCAGGTCCAGCCTGACAGGTGCAGGTCCAGACTGACAGGTGCAGGTCCAGACCGACAGGTGCAGGTCCAGACCGACAGGTGCAGGTCCAGACCTGACAGGTGCAGGTCCAGACCGACAGGTGCAGGTCAGACCACAGGTGCAGGTCCAGACCGTGCAGGTCAGCACAGGTCAGGTCAGACTGACAGGTGCAGGATCCTGACAGGAGCAGCAAGTCCAGACTGACAGGTGCAGGTGATCAGGTCAGGTCAGACACAGGTGCAGGTCCAGACTGACAGGTGCAGGTCCAGACTGACAGGTGCAGGTCCAGACTGACAGGTGCAGGTCCAGACCGACAGGTGCAGGTCCAGACTGACAGGTGCAGGTCCAGACTGACAGGTGCAGGTCCAGACCGACAGGTGCAGGACAGGTGCAGGTCCAGACCGACAGGTGCAGGTCAGAGACAAACAGTGTCATCAGTTCAAACACTAAAACGACTTTGTGCCTCTGATATAAAAACTATAAACCAGATGAATTCATCAAATCTTCTTCATCTGTGAGTCACTGGAATCATTTCCCAAAAGACTCGAACCTGCTCAGGTTTTCAACAAGTCTGTAAACCAGGACTAAACCAGGTCTAAACCAGGTCTAAACCAGGTCTAAACCAGGACTAAACCAGGACTAAACCAGGACTAAAGCAGGTCTAAACCAGGACTAAAGCAGGTCTAAACCAGGTCTAAACCAGGTCTAAACCAGGTCTAAACCAGGTCTAAACCAGGTCTAAACCAGGTCTAAACCAGGTCTAAACCAGGTCTAAACCAGGTCTAAACCAGGTCTAAACCAGGACTAAACCAGGACTAAACCAGGACTAAACCAGGTCTAAACAGGTCTAAACCAGGACTAAACCAGGTCTAAACCAGGACTAAACCAGGTCTAAACCAGGTCTAAACCAGGTCTAAACCAGGTCTAAACCAGGACTAAACCAGGTCTCAACCAGGTCTAAACCAGGACTAAACCAGGTCTAAACCAGGTCTAAACCAGGACTAAACCAGGTCTAAACCAGGTCTAAACCAGGACTAAACCAGGTCTAAACCAGGTCTAAACCAGGACTAAACCAGGACTAAACCAGGTCTAAACCAGGACTAAACCAGGTCTCAACAAGGACTAAACCAGGTCTAAACCAGGACTAAACCAGGTCTAAACCAGGTCTCAACAAGGTCTAAACCAGGTCTAAACCAGGTCTAAACCAGGACTAAACCAGGACTAAACCAGGTCTAAACCAGGTCTAAACCAGGTCTAAACCAGGTCTAAACCAGGACTAAACCAGGACTAAACCAGGTCTAAACTCTGACACCAGTTCTTCCTTGTAGTTTTT